GCCTAAAAGCTTAAGTCAATCGCTGACACATGCTGTAGTGTTAACATAAGTATATATATGAAAAAAAATCATTTGTTTCCTTTGTTTGAACTAATTTATAGATATTATAATATAATTTATAATTTAAAAAATAACTTTTAAATATTATAAAAGTTCTGCGAAAGACTGTATAGGCATTGTATTAACTGCATAGCAACACACACATTTCTCGTTAAACGCTATTCTTATGCTTATTTATTATTAGATATTCTGTTGTTCGACATTTAACTAACTTTGACGCCCAACTTACTGACATATATCTTGTCAAGGCAGCAGATCATTTTGATTACAAACACGCCCCCGCCGTATGTGTATATGAATTACATGCCATAGACCATATAAGAATAATAATCGTGATTTTTACACGGACAGTCTGTTCGATTATACACATAAACTGCAACCAGCAGAGGTCGAGGGTGCAATGTAAATATATAAATATCCGAAACACTTGCCGTACATAAATTATCGGATGCTACACAAAAGGGTTGTGTGCGTATATCTTGAGGGAATAATTATAAGGTTGACCGCACAGCTATTACGATGCGTTCTGTGCATATATATATACACACATATATGTGTACTGAAAAGGGGTAATTTGTTTTTCAAAATTACTCTTGTGCGCGCCAACCATAAGCGACTCTGCTAGCCACAGTCCTCTAGGGACTCCGAAAATCCGCAAGTGTATGTGCTTGGGGGTTGCTGGGAGTGAGGTTTCGCCCCCCATAAATAAAACTCTCTCTAAGGGATTTCGGTGAAAAGAAATTATTTTACAAATGGTGACCTTCGCCCACCGCCCTACGACAATTTACAGTTGCCTTGTTTTCGTTATTAATTTATGTTTATTAGAGGATAAAACGTTATCCAAAAACATTAAGGTTACAAGTACGGTCTCGATCTTTTTTTTTTCATGATTTTTATTACAAAACATTTTGGTTGGATAGCTCTTTCGCAAGCTGCAGAACACACCAAAGGGAGAATGGTATGAGTTATGTTCAATTTTTTTATATTTATTTTTTACTGAATAAAATAAAGTTGAATTTAGTTTATGTTTTTGGTCAACTTTATTCATATTCGTAACACTCCTCGTTTACCATCCTAAGAAGTATATGTTGTTGCTGTTGTTTGCACCAAATTACTAATAAAAACATTAAACAACAAAATCTTATGTGAATATAATATGTACCTATAATACATTATTAAAAATGTATACGTATACCTACATGTAATCGTCTATTTTAGAATTCAAATATAGCACACCATAGCTTGTATATCACTTTAATACAGAGTAGTTTTTTAAAAAAGAAACAGACACAAAATGTGTATACACTAGTTACGTATTAAATTGCTGTTTTAGCATTATCGCAATACTTATAAACTATCTTATAGTTATTATATGAATAAATTGACGTGTATTAAAGATACAACCGATCATTGACTATCAGGTTTATTGATTATGTATTGTTATAGATTAATAATATTATGAAAAAATTGGTCTCTATAAAATTAATATTCAATCATATTTAAATTAAATGTCTAAATATAAGAATAACAAGATTAGTATTAGCCATTAGGTATACTATTTACAAGAGCATAAATGCTGAAGAATAATCATTTTTGCAATCATAATTTGGCACACAACATCAGTCACATACAAAAAAAAAAAAAAATAATGAAGTGAATTGTTATAATTAATGAGACTAAAATAACATTTTTCTGACAATGTAATAACTGTCAAATTATTTAAAATTTGTTTTTTAAAAATAAATGTAAGATAATATGCTCATCAGTATTTAAACCTGCGTCATCTCCAATCAGTGTTTCCAGAAAACTTCTCCCATATATTTTATTCTCACCTGTGAATCTCTAAGAAATGTCAAGAACTAGTATAATACATATTACATATAAGTAAAAAAATCTCGTCTGTTTAATTTAATTTGAATTATTCGCAACAGTTGTATATGCCAAGCCAAGACAATTTTATCCTGCATTCCGTACTAAAATAAAATACAGATAGTTATATGTATAGCCTTACATATACACATAATACCTTTTTACCAAGTGAAATCTCAAAATTGGTATGTATTAGCAAAGACGATTTCAATTATAATTATCTCGGAGACAATAGTTTCAAATTATTATATAATAATATGCAATAAAAAATAAATAAAATATTAGACATTTTAATAATTAAACATTATTTAACTATTTAAACATATTTTAAAGGTAGATAAAACATAAATATTCTAATTTTCACCAAATACCATGATTTGATTCTTTGAGCTCAGATTATTTTTATACTAAGTTCAATGTTAAATGACATCTATATTAACTGTTGACACAAAACAAAAACTATCAAACAAAAAAATTTAGATTTTGGTACCGAATGCGATACTATTAAAATTATAAAACTACTACAATTGATATACCAATCGTAAAATAATTCATTATTTGCCCTGTGAACAAATTTTAAACGATAATTTTGCATAAAGAATATTATAAAATAAATAAACGATATCAAATACATATAAAAAGACTGACAATAATGAGGTATACGATGCAACATAAACTATATAATATTAAAATACAATATAACTGTATATTGTGAAAAATTTTTAAGTAATATTAAATTTGCTAAAATTTTAGTTTTTTAATATAATTTCTAGCAAAAGTATATTAATGCAAATTTAAAAATATATAAAAATGAAATTTCAGCATACTTAACGAGCTAAAACCCGTTACATCGAATAAGCTGTAATTTTCGTATATTCATTTTATAAACAATACGTTTTGAGATGTTTTTTCACGATTGTTGTCAAAACCTTCATAATATAATAAATCTTAGAGAAAATTCATGAACTTAGTATATTCCCATATTTTTATCCACGATTAATTAGTAGTCAAAACGAAAATTATATTTTATTAGTATAAAGAAAAAATTCTCAAATTCGAATGCACTTCATGTATAATAGTATATAGTTCGATACCTAAATATAGCATTATACATATACTGTGACCGTTAAGGAATTATATTTATACATTTTGAACGTCTATTGTAGTAGGCGTTTTAGCAATCTAAATTTTCCGACGTGACAATCTTATGGAAAGAGAGAAGAGATAGCTCCTGTCGGCGGCCGTGCAGGGCTTAAATGACCCCGCGAGGCCTGAGAAGAATAACAAAACGACAGATTATCCGGGAAAATTGGTTTATGGGCGGTGGACCTCTTTCGGGCGTCGAATAATAAATATGTGTTTTCGGTCGACTAGCCCGAGTATAGTTGTCGCACGCGTGTATATATACATATAGGCAGCCACAGGGTGTTACACATATATATTTATACACACAAACACTAATCTATTCCTCCATCCCCCTCGGTGAGCGTATATGTGTGTGTGTGTGTGTGTGTATGTGCGTGTATACTGTATATATATATATTGTATACAGTGTACACTTACACCGTTACACACGTATATAATATAATATAATATAGGGCGAGTGTAAGAGAAATAAGTTTTTTTTGTCCTCGCACCCTTCACGTTGTATCATTTTTAGGGAGCTCGTGCGCTGATTTCACGGGGCGCCGATCACGAATATGCTCGACGACTATATAATAATATAATATATATATACAAATATATATGCGTACACGTAGAGTTACATGGGAATTCGCACTTGTTGTTACGCCGCCCATACAACAATGATTATGCTAATGGACACCCCGATAACAATAACGCTCTAAATTATTGCCCATTAAACATCAACCGCGCCGCAGTCGTATATATGATATACGTATATGTATAATATGCTTAATAACCCGCGCCCACCAATGTCATATATTTAACAGCGAAAACACGCAGTCTCTCATATTGCGTGGTTAAATATTATATTCACGATTGACGGGCGTATTTACAGTGAGTTTTTGGAGAGAAAATTTAAAAAAATAGTCCTCAATATTTAATATGAATAGATATAGATAGGTATACAAGCCATACAATACAGTGTCGGCGTTCATATTTTTACGAATATCTATATTGAGCATACCTCCAGTCAAAATACCACAAAACCCTGAAATTGGCCTACACGAAATATCAATAATATAGTATACATACTTCACTGATATAATATACTATCCTCTATAAAAGATAAAATAAACCGACTTATATTATACTTAAAACTCTCGCATAAATTATGTTCATAAAAACAAAATTGAGTAAAGAATAATGTTGAAAACTTCTTCGTAAATAAACATAAGTTACAATATTTTATATTTTATCCATTAAAAACCGCTATCAAAAATAAAAAGTGATTTGAATAGAAGTCCAGATCGATATTTACCAATAAAATGCCGAATGCTAATCGCGGTTATCAGATTTTTAAATTATTAAAGTTATTAAAAATGTTAAAAATATAGTTGAAATATATTGCACGAAAATAAACATAAAATGTAAAGTGTATTAAATACATTTTTGTATAAGAAGTAAGAACCTATTAGGTATTGAATTCTGTGAAACAAGTTGTGTCTGAACTTGATACCTTATATACATGTTATATGCCTACAATGCCTACATAGTAACCCAAAACACATGATTCCATTAAATTATAAATTATGATTAAAGTACGCAAAATGTCTCCTTCGTCCTTTTGAAATAAGAAGCTATACTAATATATTTATATTCAATATTATTCAATAAAGGAATATCTACTTGGTTAGTTATATAAACAATATATATACATATTTTAGCCTTTTACATACTTAAAATTAGATATATTCATGGAAAAATGAATGCAGTAAATATGTAACTATGTAAGTGTATTATATAGTGTATTATATAGTATAGTCTGTACAAATATAACTACCTATATGTTATGATAAATTTGTTACGGTAATTTTTTGATATCGTCGTACTTATCTAGTTTAAAAAAATAATAATAATCTACATACAATTTTCATGATTTTACGCACCTCTCTTAAGTTTTTCCAACGGTTCGTGGTGTAACAGTGACGGCGGACACGGTACAGCCGTGTGATGATGGTGATGGTGACTGTCATGATGGTGCACATGGTGGTGTCCAAGCATGCCCTGATGCAGTCCAGCACTGCCATCGTGCACGGGATGATGGAACGATGCCGATGACGCGTGCTGTAATGCAACGTTGTGGTGATCAGAACCCGTCGACGACACCAAGTCTTGAAGACACAAACTCGGGTCGGTCAGGTTTTCCAGACGTTCCATCATTTTTTGTGTTTTTTTTATTTTCAAATTTCACTTATCAAAAGCCAACGACCATCACCGGATTTAAATGTGGAAAATGAACACTCAGTTGAATTCTGCAATTAAAAACATAATTCACAAATAATATTAAAACTTTGTAAATCAAATGCACATCATAATATACACCTACTTTACTACTAAAACTCAATTAATAACTTTGATATTTATTATGAGAACCTACCATTAATTATCCTATTTATAACCATTAAAATCATTTGGATAGACTCGCGATAATTAAATGCAAATAATACTTGTTATATAATACGCGTCGTATTTGAATTTTATATTGCGTCTGTGTATTTATAACCTATACACTATAATGAGGCTATAATAAAATAGTAAGTAGGTGCACAGTTCTAAGTATTTTTTTAATACCCGCAGTTTTTATAAATATTGTAGAAGTGATCGATTTAAAACAAGTGTTTAATTTTTACGTTCCGTAAATAATAATACTTACAGACAAATTAGCCGAATTGTTTTAATAGATCGGATAAATGCTAACGCATTTTAACTGTAATCACATCGCTTATAAAAATATATATATATATAAATGTTATAAGCATTATTGTTTCTTTCAGCACTGGAAACCATACTTCACAAAACTAATTATCATACTAAACGATAGAAATATAAAAACCAAAATTCTTTAAACTCGTTTGATAATTATTAATTATTTAACTAAATAAAAATGTATATACATATACATACTTTTCTAACAGACATTTATACAGATTGCAGTAATAGAGGTGTATGCGCACTTGTTACAATGCCAATCGTTTACAGTATTCACAATATCGGTATCATCAATTTCTATAATATTATATCTTGACTGACGTCTTGTATAGTTAAACAATGAGTACCGAACCGAGTATTATATAGGAGTGGTTGTGATAAAATAGGTTTTTTTTTCACATGATAAACACGCTAGTTCTCAATATTGCTATTCTGTATAAATATTTTTTTAATTTAATAACTGAATAAAAACGCAATATACAAAACAATTACATAAATATATTTTATATTCCTATGCAATCTTCAAATAGATTAGATTGTTTACAATTAATAGAGCGATTATTACAAACAAAATTAGTAGGTATGTGATGCATCTAATATGATTACTAAGATACTGTTTATGTATTATGTATAAATTATATACATATACTCCAGGCAAATATTGATAAATCAAAACGATTTTTATGGTTTTATGTGTATATGTGTAGATTAAAATGCTTCAACAGAAATATCATAACTAAATCCACGTACGCCAAAGAAAATCTAAGAATTACTCTTATAAAAGAAAAGGCAATCATAAAACACGCGTTTAAAGACTAAAAAGCTTTATTTTATGATTCTAAAATCTCAAGTTAATCAATAAAACTTAAGTTGTTCAAAGTAAATAATATTTATATCCCTAAAAATTATATTAGACATGTAGGTAAATTTCAAAATTCGTATTTTTTTTGTTTATATGATATTATTTTAACATGTTTATATTATCATACTTTTTACGAAATAATAAATATTTTAAATTTGCTACGAAAAAAATTACCACTTACCAAATGCATCGTGCTTAAATGGTCACTCAAAAAAATAACAACAAAATAAAATATACACTTATTTGAATATTTAATAAGTACCAATTTATATTGATGACCTTTTTTTAGAACAAATTATTAAGTCCTTGTAAATCGAATTAAGCCAATCACATAAATATAAATTATATATACACGTGCGTGTTTTAAAATGTGTGTAAAAAAAAGAATCATTTTATCGTAATTCCACACTGCAATTTACGTCATACAAAAACCTTCATACTCAAAGTTTATCTTTTAAAATTTCAAACACGTTTAGGTACACATATTTCTAACTTTCTAAGAGACTATTAATATTAGGTTAATAATTTATGCGTATATTATATTTTTAAATAACCTAGAGTGTACTACTTATTGCAGGCTATCATTATGAATAGTTTTTTCATATTTTTTCCCAACATTATCTTTTTAAAATATAAACACATAGTAAATACAAGAAATTATATGTAAGTGTCTATGTCATTCAATATTATTTTTATCATACCACGACTGCGTGTTTACCTAATTTATTTTCCTAAAAATATTTTAATTATGTTATATAATATTATATACGAAAAAATTGAGCATGTAGATCAAAAAACATTTTAATATAAATACTTATTATTTTTAATATTTTAAAAACATACTAGTAATTATTCTGAATTTGAAAAAAATTAAATCTACAAAAAAAAAAATGTTATTCTTGTTAAAATATGAATGTAATTTAATTTATAATTTACAAATTTTGTAAAAAGCTTACAAATCAGGTTGAATAATTAGCAAAATTATTGTAAAGACTAAAAGACTCAGTATTTTTATAGAAACAAACAAAATGACATAAAACGCAATAATAAAAATAAAACCTATTTAAGCTACTATTTAGTATTTATACTATTATAGCATTAACAATATTAACATACATTATAAGATTTTTATTTTACAAATAATTATAATCATTAGATTTACTAGATCAATTTTAAATGTACAATTAGTTTAAAAATATTCATGCGATTTAAAAGGAAATAAATTGAATTAGGTAGAAATATTATGTATTTTTTAAGTATTGGTATAATTTATTGTTAAATTTTCGTTAAACGCACGTGAAGAATACGCAGTGGCGTTCAATTCGAAGTGTTTGGATACAGTACCAATATTAATTATATCTTACACTTAACTGCAGTTTGTTAATACGTATAATTGGTAACGATAAAATATTATAATAGGATGATTAAATGTAATTGATCTCCATTCGACAATCCTTTCATCATCACTTATCCGCTCTTTGTTTGAAAATTCACCGATAATTCAGTAAAACGATAGCATTGAATATATTAACTTAATTCAAAATAAGGTTCTTCACTTTATATGCTACAAATTTAATACATGAAAAGCTTCCCTACTGACTACGAAAACGTACTAGGGATTTTAAAAATGAATTCTTTAAGAACACGTCGAATTCTGAACTGCTAACAAGCAACTCTTTTCTCTTCAAATTATTGAATAATGAAATTAATAACTGTTTTCCATTCAAAATGATAAACTTTAAAGTTATATTAACTATTAACCTGCGGAACAACAACTGCACTCGCAATAGTCATTTATTTATTATATTCATTATTTCTCTCAAAATTATATGTTCACCCCATTACTATTTTAATGTTTATGTTAATAATTTTATATTTAAGTACATTAAAGTATCTCTTTTCTTTTAATTTTTAATTTTGTAGTTGATGATATTATCATAAAATATATAAATTATATACAATATACATGTATTGTTTGTCAATAATCATTTACGTATACGTACATTTTTTCTTCTATTTTATTTATTTTTATATATAGCTAAGCCATTTACTTAAACTTGTTGATTACTTATTACTTATTATTACTGTAATAAAAAATGACCAATTATCCGTAAAGCAAATAAATAAAACATAATTTATACGAATTAACTTACTCCGAAAATTCTCGAGAACGTCAGCGATTTTTCGGAATCATCGGACGATATGATGTATAGAAGTACACATATATAAATGACAAATGCACATAATATTATTATCGCGTCTGTCATACCATACTATCGTCTGCGCTGCACGCAGATGTACATTTGTAGATTATATTTTAGATATTATTCTAAACATAATTTTTGACACGCACGCCAAAAAATATACCTATGCTCAGAGTTATTCACCATGTACACTCGCCCCGTTTTTCGTATTTAAAGACTATACTTCCAAATTCCTGAGCTTTTTGTACTACTCATGAAATGCTTTGTCGAGATTACAAACTGTATAAGTAATTTTTTTTTTTTAATTTTGATGCATTAAAATAAAAATTCAAACGAGTGCCTTTGAGCTTTTTAATTTTGTTCACTAAAAAGTTTAAAAATATGTAGACTAAAACGATTTGAAAATTTTAATAATCGATGCTAGTTAACATTTATAATTTGTTAAAATGATCGTTGTGTAATAAATATATTAGATCAGATATTAAATTAAATTTTATACTTTTGTAAAGCCATTAGACTATTATTTGTCATACAAACATTATAATAACTAACAAACTAATGTTCGTTTAAAATTAAAAAAATATCCACTACTTAATTTGCAATAAACTGGGAGAAAGGGAAGTTTTCATTTGGAAAATAGAAATTTGTATCACTACAGAACTTCTTAAGTACTGAAAAAAATTTCAACATCGCATAAAATATGGCCATTAAGTGTGTTTAAAAATTCCAAAAATGAAAATATGAATCGTACTACAGAAAAATATTCCGAAATCTGTTTTTCATCATTTATATTATTTTATTTCAAACGTACAATCTATATTATATATTTATGTACCTATGCCAAATGTCTACATTATGAGTTTATAACGATGATTTCTGTGTGCAAAATAACTATAATACCTAATAATATATATACCTGACTTTAGATACCATCAAACAACGGTCGCTGCAGACATGCTCACGACTTACCGGTTATCTTTTGACGCGTTCGTGCCCGTCATGCAATATCGTTTCGACGCGTGAAATAAAAAATATAAAAATCAAAATAGCGATAAAATCAAAATTTCGTAACACGCGAAAACGGGAAAACTTTAACGGCACAATGCAGAAAATTATTATTGTTATTTTACACGATTATATTGTAATAATACCGTTGATCCGACTCGGACGAGATACAATAATCGTCACGCACACGCACGGGAAACGGAACCGTTACTTACGCACAATGTCTGTCCCGTGTAAATAATATAATATTACGTATAATGCGACAGAGTAAAACGTTTATTATAACACATACGCGTATGTTAGAGTGCACGTTTATTATTATTATTATTATTATTGTTTATAGTATATTATAATAATAATAATAATAATAATAACAACACGCGAGAGCCGGCCGCGCGGAGTTTTAAAGTTAAGCTAACAAATTGACCTCAGATTAGGTCGACTATCCGCGGTTTGAGCCCCCCGGCTTTGAGATATATGGGAACCGATCGGCGACGGCGGCGGCAGTGGTGGCGGCGGCGGCCACCATCCCGAGTAATGGGCGGGCCGTCCTCCCCGCCGCGTCTGCCCACTCGCGGGCGGCGCTTGCGCTCTCTAGCCGCCGCCGCCGCCACGTACGCGCTCCACGCACGAACGATATTTTCCTCTTTTTGTTTTCTTCCTTTTCGTCCCCCTGCCGACGACTCTCTCGGTCCCGTCACTCGCCCTCCGCGCGCACCCATCGCACCCACCACCAACAACGCCGCCACCGCACTACCACTCTGCTGCACCCTGCACACTGCACCGCACCGCGCTAGTGTACCGCCGCCTATATAGTACGCTCGGCGAACGGGTTCATTTGTTTTACGGTTTCGCGCTCGTACGCCGTCTTGTCCGCAGACGATTTTTCATACGATATTATTACCGCGCGCCCCGCCCGCGCACCACCTCGTCCACGGTCGAACCGTCATCCACCGCCGCCGCAA